GCAGGTTTGGTGGGGTGCGGCGCTCGCTTACCTGCGGCGCTCGCTTGCCACATACGTTAACAATAAACACAAAACATGATTACAAAAGATTGAAAGCTTTCATCATCCATTTTCCACAAATCCGCCCTCTCTGTACATACCATGGAATTTCCTCCCAACCCCATCTTCGTGCCCGGAACGCCTATGCTCCGGCTAACCCATGCAAGAATGACATAGTTCAAAATTTCTCATTCCTCTCTACCTCTCATACTCTGTCATACCCACATACCCACATACACACACACACACACACACTCTCTCTCTCTCTCTTTCTTTCTCTTTCTCCTCTACTTGGACATTGCTCACTCGTCTTCGACTTCCTCCACCGTCGCCCGCTGTGGCCGCTGCATAACCTCACCCCCCGCTGGTGCTGATTCCGATCCAGTTGGCTGCGGTGCGCTATCTACCGGTACAGGAGCTGGAGCAGCTTGCGCATGGGCCGGAGACGCTGCCTCATGGTGGTGACCGCCCTTCTTCGCCTTTCCACCAGCAGCTTTTGCTGCTAGCTTGGCGGCTTTTCGCTCCTTCTTTGCAGCCTTCTTTGCCTTGATGTCTTCGGGAGTCTAAAAATTAATTTAGTATGCGCCTCAATACACATGCATTCACGGCACCAAAAATAAAAAAAAACATACCTCTTGCCACGCCCATACAGGCCGGAACGAGTCGAAGAAACCAACATCCTCAAACAAGTTGGGGTACAGCCAGAGACCGGGCGGCGCAACAAAAATGGTAATGATGAACAGAATCAGTCGGACAATGGCCATGGCAAAAAACAGTCCAATCAGTCCAAGCATGCCCATGCTGAGGTACCAGACACCTTGTCGCAGCATAAGCGGCCAAAGCGGGAACAGGACAACGGCAATGACCAGAATCAGGGCTCCGACCGCGTACAGCTTCTGCTTCCATTGCGAGCCCTCGTATAGCCAGATGTAGTAGTTGTCGTCGTTTGCCTCCTGGTGCTGCTCAATCTTGACCGTCCACAGTCCCTTGATGCGCTTGGGCTTTGCATGGTTGTGGCCTTCGTGTGCGTCTTCGTCGACCTTGGAGACACGGAGGGCAAGAAGCGAGAGCGGCAGAAGTTTGAAGCAGTTCTCGGCGGATGCGCGGTCGGTAACTTCGGGCAGCAGAGGGTTCTTGGCGCGGGCCTTTTGGTATGCGGGGGACTGGAGGGCGCGTATGGCTCGCTTGACTGTTGCAGGTTAGCACCAGCGTGGCATGGCTACCAAGACGGCGGGGGAGGGCGCATGGCTACCTCTGAACATGTCTTTTCGCTTCTCGTCGTGCACAACCGTCCTGGGCTTTAGGTCCTGCGACTTGAGCCAATTGGCGACAGCAAGCGCTTCGGGTTTAGGGGGGCCTGGCTGGATGGGCTGCTGCTGTTGCTGCTGCTGCTGCTGTTGCTGCTGCATCTGCTGTTGCTGCATCTGCTGGGCCATGGCTTGTTGTCGCAGTCTTTGGACGTATTCCTGGATCGAGATTCCGTGCTTCTGTGCCTCGGCTGCCAGTTGCATCTGGATCTGCTGGATCTGCTCGGGGGTGGGCCGTTCGCCATTGGGGCCGAGGGGTATGGGAATGGCAATGGAGCCCGGCGGTGGGCCGTCTTGAGGGCCGCCCTCGTGTTGTGGTGGGGGATCCTGATCGGCCATGGTGAAGGCGAAAAGTCCAACCGTGGGCAGCAAAGGGGCTGGCCGGCGAGTGTGGGCGAGTAGGCGGGAGGAGGAGGAGGAGGAAGAGGGAGGCGTCTGGAAGAGGGCGCTTCGGACGGTTGACACGGTGGACTTTCGTACATAATGCCACATTACATCAAGCCCCAGTTCGGCGGAAGGTAGGTCCGGGCGGGGTGACTAAGCAGCGCGCTTGGATACAAGTGCATAGAAATTTCTGCGAGCCAAAACCCTTCCTTCTCCCCCATCCACCTGCCTGCTCTACTACACCACTGACGACTCGCACCTTTTCCCCAGCATTGCACACGTTTGCAGCATCCTCCGCACGCTCGACTACGGGCGCCCGATTGCGCTCAGTGTCTGAGTGGCTTTGGCGTTGGTTGCACGTGGTGCAGGCAACAGGGCTGGGTGGGACGGGCGCATGCGGCGCTCCAAGCAAGCGCATGGCTACCGACAGACAGGCAGATTGTGCCGTAGCAGTCGGTGGCATGGAGGGACGATTGGTGTCGAGGTGGGCAGCATGTGTGCAGCATGTGTGCAGCACAGGGGAGCATGCTTGATGTAGGGTTCCGGCCAAGGCTGGTGTGGTGATGGGCTAGCAATGGGCAGCCGTCAGACGCGCACGAGGAACCGGCGCTTTGTGATGTTCACTTCACCAACACTCTGGCCCTTACTTTGCCTACTGTATAGGCCTATTTTGGTGTGAAGAAGAGAAAACCGACCCATTACTCACCGCGATGCACATGATTTGTGGCATCAGTGGTCCTTTTCCGCGGTCAACATTTGCTTGTTGTGTAGATGGTAGTTGTAGATGTATTGCATAGCAGTAGTAGTAGTAGTAGTAGTAGTAGTAGTAGTAGACCTAGTAGTAGTGGTGGTAGTTTAGTAGATGGACGAGCGAGGACCGCCATGTCGGTAGCTTTGGGCCATGTATGCAGATGGACATGGCACATGAAACGGCTGCAGCAGCCATGACCTCGATGTGCTTGGCGGGCGGGCTAGCAGGCGTGGTTTGATGCAAAAGCCTCATGAAGCCGCGCTGCGAGTGTGGGCACGCCCGATGAGCCATTCCCTTTTGTTTTTTTTTGTTTTTTTTTGAGGGGGGGAGGGGAGGGGAGCAAAAAGCGGCAGACGGTAAGCAAGCGGGCAGGCAGGCAGGCAGGCAGGCAAAAGCTTGGGCGAGTCAAGGGCCGGGCATGGGCATGGGGGGCAGCGTGTTGGAGGATGATGCATGTTGGTGGATATTGCGGCACCTGCAGGCTTGGGGGTGGGTGGGTGGGTGGATGCGGGTGCATGGCTGGTGGATGGCTGATGATGGAGGGCGGGCGGCTGATGATGGGGGCATGGAGCCATGGGGATCGCCGTGAGCGTTGGATGGACGAGGCGTCGCCCCCTTGCAAGCCGCCGTCGCTGGCGGCTTGCTGTAGCGCGTCCACATCTTCGCATGCTCTCAAGCCACCGCTCTGCACCCGCCCATCCGCCCATCCGCCGTGGGCGAGCGCGACACAGAGTGCGCGAGAGCGAGAGAGCGGGAGAGCGACTGAGCGACTGAGTGCCTGAGTGCCTGAGTGCGGGCGTGAAAAAGCAGCCCACCAAGCCGCCGCCCTTTTTTTCTTCTTTCTTTCTTTCTCGTCCAGCCCATCAAGCCCGCGGGTTTGCGAAGCTTGCTGTGCTGCTGTGCTGCTGCCGTCCCATCCCATCCTCGTCCTCGCTCTCTTCCACACCCCACCACGACGACGTGACGACGTGACGTGACAGCCCGCATCACGCCGACTAGGTGTTCCCCAGGCCGCTGCCGTGCGCCTCTTTTTTCTCCCTCTCTCACTCTCTCTTGCTCACTCACTCACTCAGGTCCCAGTCCCCCAGTCTCCAGTCCCCAGTCCCAGTCCCCAGTTCCTCCGTCTTTGTCGCCGTCGCCGTCCCACGCGGCTCTCGTGCGTGCGAGTGGCTGCGCTACGCTGCCTACACGCTTCGGCCCAGCGACACGTCTGGCACCCCGTCGCTGCAATAATAGAATTTCCGCTCTGCCGCCTTGCTCTCCACCCCCCCCCCCCATCGCTTGCTGACGCCTTTTCCTACACTGCATCCAAGTCCGCCAAAACTTCGCCCCGTCTGCACCTCCGTCTCCGTCGCCGTCGCCGTCACCATCGCCATCGCCATTACCGTCGCCATCGCCATTACCGTCGCCGTAGCTGCTGCTGCTGCTGCTGCTGCCGCCGCCGACGCCGCCGCTACCCCGTCTCGTCACCACTGCGCCGGCTGCTGAGTGAAACCTGTCCGCAAATCCACTGCCGGGGTCTCTCTGCTGGTGTCGTGCCAGCACGCGGACACCCGGTGCTGAGGAATCCGACCCACGCCCCCCCCCCAAAGACATGTCAAGCGCACCACACGGGCGACGATTCCGCGAAGGCATAGGCACCAGCCGCTCCCGGTGAAGCTGTGCTGTGGGCGTTGTTGTCATCCGGCTTTCTGCACCACCAGTCGCCCCCAGCCCGACACCTACACCTACACCTACACACATACACACACACGTATACACACTCGCACACGCACACGCACACGCACACGCATCCACCCTCACACACACGACGACGACGACGACGACGACGCTCGCTGCCTGTTTGATACACCACCGCCTCCACACCACCCCCCACCATGACTATGGTCCGGCCCTACCCCCCGCAGCCGCCGTCGCAGCTTCCCTCCACCCTAGGCTACAACAACATCGCACCTGCCCCGTCACACGCTTCCTACCTGCGCAATGCACCCCCGCTCGAGGCGCGCGCCCTCGCCCACCACGCCATCCCCCAGCAGTACGCTCACCCGCTTTCCAGACACAACGCCTACGGCTCGCCCCCCGCAGAGCCCGGCCGCACTCCCAAGCCCGCAGAGCACATGCTGCGCCGCAAGACGCCAAATGGCATCTTGGCCGCCGCCTATGACGGCACCTCGGTCGAGCAGAGCGGCGAGCCCCATGCAACCAAGCACATTCTGCTCCCCGTGACGGCCGAGTCGAGCATACCCTACGGCCTCAAGCAGGACCTCCCTCTGCGCTCGCCCGCTCTGCATGCCCAGAACCACCGCGACCCGGCTGAATGGAGTGCCAGTCGCTACTTCGAGACGGGCTCCGGCCTCTTGGGCCAGCACTTACCACAGATTGACTCGATGCTCAACCAAATACCCCCATTGCAGCCTCTTGAGCCCTACCAGATGTATGCACATCCCTTCTGCGGCCCCATGGGCCCTCCCTTTCAGACGCCTTTGAACCCTACCGTTTCCAATGACCAGGGCCCATATGGTCCCTATTGGCACGACGGCACCTATATTCCCTATCGCCCTGCCGCCATGCGCGATCCGCGATTTTTACTTCATCACACTCAGAATTGGACTCATCCGCGCAGCAATCCCTTTCTAGGTCACCCCTACAGCAATGTTGTGCCCACCTTTTCTCATCATCAGCAGAATCCTGTTCAACTCGACTATGCCCATGGTGCCTACGCTCACCCCCCGAGGCCCCAACTAGACTTCCAGCCATTTGGACAGCCTCCACCAAATCCTGCATTAGACTATCAAAATCAACCCCTTCCACCGCCTCTGACACAGCGTCCTCAAGACTTTTTGCATTCTGGTCAGACGACGCCGGTTGCTGAGCACATGCCCAGCCTGCCGCTCACTGACTTTGGCACACAATCGCCCGCCGAACAGCCTAGGGATAAGGTGTTCGCCTGGGCTCATGCCGTGTACGTCGACATGCTGAGGCACTTGCAAGCAACCAGAAAGGCCACTTCACATAGCCATGGCCGCGTGCAGCACCGACCTCACATCTACCCGAAGCCGCCCCGGCAGCCTGGCGGTAGCTCTTCCCTCAGTCCCCACCCCTCGCTAGAACGCCGTGTCTCTTATCCAGCCCCCAACCACTACGTGTCGCCTCACTCCGGCGCAGAATTCGCGCCCAAGAGACCTCAACTACCGCACTCGCGCTCCGTGTCAGCATGGTCCATGGGCGCTCCTGACCCTAGTGGCCAACCGTGGCAAGGGGCAGTGCCATTACAACACCCCATGCTACCCCATGTCTCGGCTATCGAACCGCCACGTACTTTGCGCCGAATGTCCGGCTCCGTTGCCAGTGCTCACCAGAGCCTCCAACATGTTGTCCCTCCAAGCGTGACCACTGCTTCTGCTCTAGAGACAATCACTAAACACTGCGAAGAAAGCAAATGGACTTGGATAGATGGTATGCTTCTTGGTGGTTGTCTTGCCTACGCACTGGGCGACTACCAAAAAGCCCAAGACTGGTATAAACATATTTTGACCTTGGATAAAGAGTGAGCAACGCACCAATTTCCCCCTCTTAAAAAAAATACTTGATCCATGCTAATGCCATGTAGCCATGTCGAAGCCATCTCAAATCTGGCGGCTACCATGCTTGCTCTCCAGCAAAAGCGCGAAGCCGAGAATTACTGGAGACGTGCTGTTAAGCTCCGTCCTAGCTATTTCGAGGCTGTCGAGCACCTGATTGGTCTGCTCTGTAGTGACCACAAAGGCCGAGAGGCTGTTCAGGTCATTGAAGAAGTCGAACGACAGCTAAGGTTCGTCAAGAGAGCAGACGCCCTACGCAGCCTGGAAGCCGAGAGCGAACGCTCGGCCTCTACCATCAGCGAGTCCAGTCTTTCGGAAGCATCTGACAGACCTGTTTTTGAATTTGAAGGTGAGGAGGAATCCGTCTTCAAGGAACTGGATGAGCTGCCCGGATCGGATCAGCCTGGCTTCGGCTCGAGTGGATACGCCATTGCAGGCTGCGACAACGGCCGCATTCTTGCATTGGTGCATGCCAAAGGCAATATGCTTTATGCTCTTGGTGACAATGCTGGCGCTGCCAAGGCCTTTGAGAACGCAGTGCTTATTGGAGCCGGGTCACACGCCAACGGAATCGATGGCCTCATCAAGCGTATTCTTGCTGTCGTTGGATACGATGTTGTTGAACGCTCGCCAGGTGGCCGTCGTGTGCCACCCTCGACAGATCCAATTCTGCTGCCGCCCGATGCAGCGACCAGGACGGCTCATCTTTGCTTCCCGCCTCACGGCCAGCTCCCTGGCCTGAAGCATGTCTCTAGCGAGGGACTCTCCCGGAAAGCAGCCATATCGACTACAAGCAATTCGTTACTCTCACTAGCCAAAATATTCCAAGACGGCATGGCTACCAATGCGCCAAAGGCTCCCGCATACCAGAGCCACTACGGGGTACGAGAGATTCTGGCTCTCTACTATCTGTCATTGTCCCTGCAGCCTAGCCCGTCAACAGCTAACAACGTTGGCATTCTACTTGCTAGCTTCCAGCAATCTGCCCCTTCGAAACCAAGTTCCGTAGCACATGCTTTTGGACAGCCCCAAATCCCCGGCCTAGTTCCGGGCAGTGGCGTTGCTCTGGCGCTTGCCTACTACTCTTACGGACTCCAATTGGATTCATCACATGCCCATCTCTACACCAATCTCGGTAGCCTCTTGAAAGACATTGGCCAGCTGGATCATGCAATCAACATGTACGAAAAAGCAGTCCATTGTGATCAAGGCTTCGACATTGCTCTCGCCAATCTCGCCAATGCCGTCAAGGACAAGGGACGCATTGCCGATGCCATCTTTTACTACCGCAAGGCTGTAAAGTCGAGCCCTGACTTTGCCGAAGCTGTTTGCGGCCTTGCCAATGCCCTCAATTCGGTCTGCAACTGGGCTGGAAGAGGCGGCATAGCCGAGGATCAAGGTTCGAGGGACCGCTGGCATGTCAATGATAATGGTATGCTCTTGGATGCGGCTATCCCGGGCGCTTCCAGTTCAGGATGGATTTACAAGGTTGTGAAACTTGTCGAGAAGCAGCTTGCTGACGGCGAGGACTGGGGCCGAGGCATCATGGACGAAGGCTTCGTTCAAGACATTGTGCGTCCATTTGCTCTTGCCGCCAACGATGCGCAAGGCATCAAGGACAAGGAAGACAGCATGAGACGAGTGCTGTCCAAGTGGAAAGGCCAAAAGTGGGAAGGAGCTCGCATTGTGCGTCTCGTCGAGCGTGCCATCCGATGGATGACTTGGCAGTGGTATCAGGATCGTTACATTACTGGCAAGCAGCGACCATCGGCCTCGTACAAAAGACCCCAGCTGCCGGCAGCCTTGACGGTACCTGCAGCGCCCACTGTGCTGCCCTTTCACACCTTTACCTGCCCCATGTCAGCCAAGCAAATCCGTCTCATTTCGCAACGCAACGGCCTACGCATCTCATGCTCGACGTTGCGGGTTCCTTGGCTTCCACCGACTGTTTATCAGCCCCCTGCGCCGCCGAAGCCATATCTCAAAGTTGGCTACGTATCGTCCGACTTCAACAACCATCCACTGGCGCATCTGATGCAGTCTGTGTTTGGGCTGCATGACCCAAGCCGCGTAAAGGCATACTGCTATGCAACAACTGCGAGTGACGGATCCGAGCATCGCAAGCAAATCGAGAAGGAATCTCCTGTCTTCTATGACGCCAGCGGCTGGCCTGCAGAACGATTGGTGCACCAGATCACGAGCGACGGCATACACATCCTGGTCAACTTGAATGGTTACACGAGAGGAGCAAGGAACGAGGTCTTTGCTGCCCGCGCCGCTCCCATCCAGATGGCCTTTATGGGCTTTGCAGGTACTCTTGGCGCCGAATGGTGCGATTACTTGCTTGCCGACGACACTGCTGTCCCGCCGGATACTCTGCGTCAATGGCGTCGTAACGTTGATCTCGAAGACGCCCTCGTGGACGACAACAGCGGTAGCACTGACGATAAATGGATCTACGGAGAGAATATTGTTTTCTGCAGGGATACCTTCTTCTGCTGCGACCACCGACAGAGTGCTCCAGACTCTCAAGGTCAACAACTAAGCTGGGAAGAAGAGCAACACCGAAGATGGGCGATGCGCAAGGAGATCTTTCCGAATCTTTCCGACAATGCCATCATCCTTGCAAACTTCAACCAGCTGTACAAGGTAAATCAAAGCCCCATGACTTTGCTGAATGCCTACTAACTGTAGGGAAGATCGAACCCACGACGTTCCGCACTTGGTTACGTATCCTTGAGAAGATACCCAATGCCGTTCTCTGGCTGTTGCGATTTCCTGATCTCGGCGAGACGAACCTTAAGCACACGGCTCTCATGTGGGCCGGCGCCGAAGTCGCCAGTCGCATCATGTTCACCGACGTTGCACAGAAGCATCAGCATATTTCTCGCGCGCGTGTCTGCGATCTTTTCCTTGATACGCCGGAATGCAATGCACATACAACAGCCGCTGACGTGCTTTGGTCTGGCACGCCACTGCTCACGCTACCACGGTACAAGTACAAGATGTGCTCTCGAATGGCAGCTTCGATTCTCAAAGGCGCATTGCCCAAGACGCCTGCGGGTGCACAGGCTGCAAAAGAGCTCATTGCAGCAAATGATGATGAGTATGAGGAAATGGCGGTCCGCTTGACACGCGATTATTCTTACGAGGGTCACCGACCCACGGGACGACTGAGCGAATTACGACGTATGCTCTACGAGTCGCGCTGGACCAGCGCTCTCTTCGACACCAAACGATGGGTCGGCGATCTAGAAGAAGCATATGAAATAGCATGGAAGAAATGGGAAAGGGGCGAAGGGGGCGACATCTGGTTGCAACATTAATGGCTGTCGTGAACATAGCGACTGCATTCTCATTTGCTAAAAGCGCTTGAGGCTAGAGAAGACTTGCATGTACTTTGGGCTTAGATTCTTGGTTTGGATTCAGCGTATTTGGCAAGCTACGCAGGGGAATTTGGCGAGCACTGGGTTGCTGCGGTTGTATTCTGTTCCTATACCCCCACATTGATTTGAATCGGACATGTTTTTTTGGTTACGCGGTAGGGAGCTCGCCAACGAGGTGTTTGCGTTGGGTTCCGAGGTGCATATACTTGGGCGTTTTTTTTGTAGGGCATTGGGAAACAAGACTATTGATTAGTGTTTCACTATGGGACAATTGCTTTGTCGCGAGGGAAAGCGACGCAGCAATTCACTTACCTCTACTAATAACTACATCAACGTACGCGCATTTCACAACACCAACGTCAAGTTTTCTAGAATAGGTGTAATTTTTGTTAAATATATACAAATCCCTTACAAGAAACTAATTACAGCAAGTTTTAAGACGTGCAGCGTGCGCGCTGTGGAGCTATAAGCTATAAGAGCAGATAGTCAAGACACGTCTCACACTTAAAACAAAAACACACAGACCACTCTGCTTAGTAATAAGAGAACCCCAGCAACAGAATGCCACCAGAAAGCGATACTATCGAAGCCCAAGTGCTAGAACAGAGACAAGAGAGCCTAGGCCCAGAGGCTCAGATCGACAGGGAAATGGACAGAGAGGACCCCTACCAGCCACTCCTACCCAGCAACCAGCCAGCCAAGAGAGCGTCTTTGAAATCCCAAATCCTACCACCAAAAAAGCGCCAAGCCAACTTCTCGCCAGAGGATGCCTATAGAGGCAGAAACCCCTTCCAGAACTCCTCTACCCCAAACCAACTGCCAAGAACTCGGAGCAGGCCAATCTACTGGGCGAGAGACCTGATTCTCCAAGCGTCAACTATGGCTGAA